TCATCGTTTTGTTTTACAGTTACTTGGCTTCCTCAAAGAAGGAAGTTTGTGGTTTTTACTAGATGATCTTGTAATGGCTTCCTGAACTATCCTAGCTATTTCCTGTATTAAATGGTCTCTTTCATTTTGTGATACTTACTCTCTGTTCTGTTAGAGACTCAAATAGCTAGAGAAAGCGATAAAAGGTTGTCTTCATTCGGGCTAGTTCTCTTATGCTATTATTTGGATGGAATAATGAGAAAAGAACGAAAGGGGCGGAAAAAGAATTAATTAGTTGATATAGTACACGCGCTTTGTTATTGGACATCCATCAACGACAAAAGCAAGGGCAACAATACTGAGCTCCTCAAATTATGGCACAAAGTCGGCGCGTTTTGTGCTGTAGTCTTTTCAATCGAACTTTTGAATGTTATAACTTGAGTGATGTCGGCGATTTTTTTGCCAAAAGATGTGACAGGGCATCAAAATATTTGACCCTTGAGGTTAAAATTTCGTAAATATTACAACAATGAGGTGATCAATTTGAAGTGTAGGTATTGATTGTTCAATTTGAATGAGGAAAGAAAAATAAAAAAACCTAATCGCTAGTTTGTTATTAGCCAACTGAACTTGCTACTTTGTTGAATTTGATTTCTTGAATTAGAAAGCTATATAAATTTGGAAACCCCATAACTAATGTGAAAAATCACGCAATGTCAAAGTGATTGTTTTTACTAATTAATTGTTTTTACTAATTAATTGATTCAGATAGAGAGAATAATAAGAGAGAAAGGAGGGAGAGAGTTAATAAGGTCTTTTTTTCCGCCAGAGAGGACTCGGAGAGAAATGGGGGTTAAGTTCTGGGAAGATGGATTATGGAGGGAGGGAGACTGGAGGGGCGACTACTTATAACGGCGAGAGAAATAATTTTCGAGACAGGCTACGGACAGAGAGATAAGGGAGCCATGAAAAACATCAAGAGGCGAGTAATAATGAATGGAAAAGAGAGAGAGAGAGATGTCTTTCTCAAAGTGCCTGCTAATTGGGGCTAGAGTTGAAGTGGTAATATGAAATGCGGCGCTTCATCAGACGACGCATTGGCCGTATTTGTGTCAGCCCCCGCCATGGATCCCCATGTTATCTATACTTACATTCCTGTCAATTTGGCCCTCTCTATCTAAATAGAACCCACCCGTCCATATGTGTTAGTAGCCCCTCTCTCCAATTCAATGCGGGAACATGGAAAACTGGAACAGTTCTTAGTCAATTCATATTCTTCCTCTCATCCTTTGAATCGGTGGGGAAAATCATGTAACCTCTTGGATGGAGGCGTGGATCTCATGATTTATCGAAAGATATTTAGAAAAAGATTTCGCAGAAACGAATAATGTTTCACACCAATCATGATTGGAGAAAATGCTTTGTCAAATAATACGTGACAGTTAATTGATGTACCAGTTTTATGTTTTACCCTTCATTTGTCACAGGTGGACCAGTTTGTGATTTTTTGTGATATTAATTTAATTTAACGGAAACTAACGGAGGGTAAATTTGTCACAAATGTACCAGTTTGGGGTTTTTAGTGGTCAAAATATTAGTTTGGGACAAATTTATCACAAATGTACTAGTTTTGGATTTTTTGTGGTCAAAAAAATAGTTTGGGATAAAATTGTCACATGTGTACTAGTTTGAGATTTTTCGTGATATTAACCCTATAAATTAACATGAACATTAGTGCTAAAGCCTACCATCTATCATATTGACAATAGTTCCTTGTCGATGCACCAAAACTTGACAATGAAAAAAAAATTTTATTTGCTTACACATGCTTACAGATTTCAACTAATTGCGCAATGAGCTTTCACTTGATGTAACACATATTGTAGCCTCCTTTATTATGCATAACAGTCTTACCTAAGATTTTACACAAGAAATTAACATAATCGGTCCTCCTTTAAAAACGATAGTCTTTGGAGAAACTTTGGTTAGATCTATTGCCCAAGTACCTTACCATATCCTCTAAAATATATTAGCTGGATGGGAACACTTTTACTTGAGCTTGACAAGAGAAAACATATTGTTTCATAGTCTAAAATAAATGTGCTCTTTTAGGCACTTACACTAAAGAACCAAATAATACAGAAACTCAACTGCTATTTGCTTCTCAAAAAAAAAAAAAAAATTGCTATTTGCTACTTTATGCACTATGAAGTGTGAGAATGGCAATTCTGTAGCTCCTAATGAAAATCTGTTCCACCGAGATCCAAAAAGAGAACTCCTATAGAATAAAATCAATATAAAGAACTCAATCTAGTGAACATGTACAGAAGAAATGCTAATGGCATTTTTTTTTTCAATCCAAATTGCCCTCACGAATCACGAGGCAAAAATCACCATCTCCTCCTCCTCCTCCTCCTCCACCGCCACCCCGTTCAGCTCGCACTCCTCCCTCATCCCTCCTCCGTACTTGTCGTTCCTCTCCGCCCTCGCCTTCAGCGCCTCCAGCAGCTCCCCCACCGCCCTCTCCTTGTTCCTCCGGTTCTTGATCAGCAGCACCTCGCTCATTTCCGCCGGCGTCATCTTGGCCTTCTCCACCGCCTCCCGGAGCTCGGCCGCCGCCGCCGCCTCCCCGCCTCCCAGGTAGTTCCGGAGCAGGATCTTATGCGTGAGTGTGAAGACCTCTCAAGTGCAGGATCCTCGGGAAGAAGGCAATAATGGTCAGGAGGGAGGCCACGATGCTCAGGAGGGAGGACACGGAGTCCAGAGATGAGCAAGACGACTCCATTTCTGCCTTCGTGTGTGAGTGTCAAGATCTCTCTCTGGGTGGTGTAGAAGAAGGAGACGACGAAGCAGAGTCGGGTTTGAGTTCTCTTTCTGAGTAAAGATACGACGGGGGTCCTCGATTATTTATGGGAAGATTTTGGGTCACATTTGACAAAAATGCTATTGCAGACGTTCAAGTGTGTATTGCACACAGCAATACACACTTGAACGTCTGCAATAGCATTTGACTGCAATACACACTTGAACGTCTGCAATAGCATTTTTGTCAAATGTGACCCAAAATGCTGTTGCAGATGTTCAACTGCAATACACACTTGAACGTCTGCAATCAGCATTTTGGTCAAGTGTGACGCACATCTTCCCATAAATAATCGAGGACCCCCTTCGTATCTTTAACAGCCGCACCCCGTATTCTATTACGTGGAAGCTTCGTACAACTTGCTGCTGCTGCTATGGAGGAAGGACTCCGTGCGACGGTGAAATCCGGTTGATATGGGAAAATTAATTAGTCAAAAAAGCGAGCATAAAGCCAAAAAAAAAAAAAAGTCTCCAAAAAATTACCTCTTATATCTAAACACGTTGCCCCCCACTTTGGCCTTATGGCACCCATGTCACATAACAATTTCATTTATTTTCAATGGCACAACCACAAATTTGTAGAGGACTTCATAAAGTGTGCCCTGAATATATTAGTTAAGTAACCAAACGATAGGCTTTTACAATAATCGAAATCCAGATTACAAGAATGAGATTGACGGTCCAAAAATAACTATATCGACATTAATTCGGTAAAGTTTCAATTTTTCACCACACGCTCTGTGTGACGTTTGTTATTGCACGCCGGTCTTGTAGCGAGAAATTCGAGGGCTCATCGAGTTCACGCAAATTTGGTCCATTGATTTTGTGAGGTCTAACGTACAATTCATATGATATAACGATTCCGATGGGTCGAGTCTACGCGAACTCGGTCCACTCGGGAGCGGCCCTTTTTACGATGGATTTATTTAATAAGAATAAGAAGGGAAAGGGGCGGGACAGGTGTGGCTGATTGGCTCATTACTAGGGGTAAGGAGTGGAGGGGATGATGGTGAGGCGAATGTCATCGCCATTGGTCCGTTACGAGCGTTCTCCCCAAATTTCCCCCTCTCAAAAGAAATGGAACAGTGACCGTGACAAAGCCCCCATACACGCGGCACCCTCTCTCTCGCTCTCTCTGGGTCCTCTTTTTGGGGGATGAGAGGGATTGGCTCTGGCTCAATTAGTATAAACATTTCCTTTTTGACTTGCAGGGGAGAACCAGAACAGCTGACGAAGGAAACAACGTGGAAAAAAGGGGGGCGCTCATTCCCCCTTTATGGTCTCTTTTTCCCTGCACGTCACTATAATTGATAATTTTAAATGAATTATCATATGACACCAAAAAAAATCGAGAGATTTAGATAGTCATTTCGAATTTAGGGAATTAGTGCGATGGGCCTTCACCACACAATCCGCGGCATGATTAGCATTCCTAGGGCAATGTGATGTTCTCTGCTATGTGATTGCACCCGCCTCCAAGAGCAAGTTGATGGTGTAGGATCATGCAGCGTATATAAGTTCAATAAGAGATGGCGATTCAATCGAGATCGAGGGAACGCGAAAAGCACATAAGTTTTGCTTATGATTAGATTGTTTTATTACCTTGCAACTGAATGTAAAGAAATTTATTGTCAAGTTTCGTGCATCTAAAGAGTCTAGTGCTAGCATATTTCATAAGCCTGACTGCTCTCTCAAATTCTTCCAACTTAAAAAGATCCCATAGGAAGACATATATCAATTCCAAGGAAAAAAAACAGCACATAGCTTCAAAAAAATTATTGTCACGCCCCATACCCCACGAAGCGCGAGCATCCCACCTTCGGTCGTTTGACTGCGACGTCCCAGGAAGCATCGCCGACCCACACCCATATATAGATCAAACACAAGCGGAAGCATAAAATAAACAAACCCAGACAACTACGATATGAGCCAAGGATAGCCATACATCAAACACCATCATAGAAAATAATTACACATTTATATTACTATTAAAAACCCTTTGTACAATATTTACAAGTACAAACAAAAAGGCACACATGATCAGTAGCCACTTGGTCAAAAAGGGATAAGTGGCTAGGGAGGTCAGGCTAAAACTCAGGGGGAGGGCTACAGTCCAAAAAGTAACGGCCCCCACTACTAACTAAGGACATTGGGTGACCTTAAGGTTCCCAATCAGGATCGGATGACTCGGAAGAATTCTCTGACAACTCCTCGGAGGCGTCCTCACTAGATTCTGACTCCTCCGAATCCATCGCCTGGGCTCGCTCATCCTCGGAGTCCGACTCCAACTCCGGGTCAAGGTAAAGCTCGAACCCCTCCTCATCTGATCCCAGCTCTGCCACCTCTCCGTCCTTCTCTACGTCCTGCTCCATGGCCTCGGGTTCATCCTCCTCCTCATCCATCGGCTCGGGGTCCTCCGCTAGTACATCAGGCTCCTCATTCACCTCCTCCTCCTGCATCATCCACTCGGGTGTAATCTCAGGGTCGATCACCTCACCATCAATTATAATTGGCTGCATCAACCCAACATCATCGACCGGGATATCAAAGGTCCTAAGGGGCTCTCCCACATTTCCATCGGCATCCCGGTGGCACCATGCCACGTACTCCTGCTTCTGGTAAAAATACTCGCCTATCTCCACATATACTACTTATCGATACCTCACGAAAGCCTCCCCATTACCTGAGGGGTAGGTATTGCTATACTGCTGAATCTGTACAGGGATCCCAAAAAGAGTCGGTGGTCTCTCCATCCTCACAATTGGGGGTCTGAAAAGTTTCGATTTACACAACCGTGAGACGAATCTCAATGAGTTCAACCCCTAAACCTAGGCTAGGCTAGCATGCAATCTCCTGACCGGAAACAAATATTTAAATCACGATACAACAATAATCAAACCATTCTCTGACCTTGCAGGTTAGATAGATCAACATATAATAGTCACCGCACATACGTGGTACACATTATCACACGTACGCCAATCACATTCTCATGCACCGAGTCTCACACACTCGCATGCCAGTCCATGCATGTTCATGCATGCAGATGTCGTCGACAGGTCACGTGCATTTCCCGGCCCACTGACCCACATTGGCAATCGCCCAATTTATTATTTATTACGACGACTCGAGTCAACAACATTCACGGCCTGATGCGTCTAGCCTGCTTCAAAGTGCATGAGGCGCAGCAACCGATCTGGCCCAGTGTCTCTAGCCTGCTTCAAAGTGCATGAGGCGCAACACTGATCTCCTTACGAACCAGAGCCTGCTTCAAAATGCATGAGGATGGTCGTCTTCCGGACGTACCGGGCATCGTCCTGCTTCAAAGTGCATGAGGACGGTATCGATCCGAAGGTCACGACCCGAAGGTCTTTAGGTGATCATGCAACTCATTATTATCCAAACCCAGCGTATGATGCTTCAGGGTATTTTAGGTGATCATACACTCATGGCAGGCACGCATTCTCGCACAATTTCCCCACATGCCTCACACTAGGCATGCATAATGCGTGTCCATGTTATGCAATGCAATGCACCATGAGCACCAATGAAATTCAAACACTCAATATCACAACACGTGCTCAATTGGCCCAATTAATACCATGTGGTCCAATGTGCGATTCACAATTCAATAATTAATTGCAAGCCAAACAGTGGCCATTCACACTCCACAAAAATCAGCCACACCACATGCGACATAGCAGTACTCAATCAATCACAATTAAGCACGAATTACATACAATCAATCAACTCGGACATACCCGGCAATTCCACCAATGGGCTCCTAAATTGGCTAATCAATCCAATTACTCTCCCCAATAAATTCTCATTGATCCACTACATTTTTCCCGATAATAATTCATACCAATCGGTACACTAATTCCTCTAAGCATGTACTAGTATTCCTAAACCAGTCCAGAAAAATGCACCATCAGTCCTAATCCGGATTTAGGAATTTTACTCACTTAAATTCTGGACCACGGCGACGAGGAACGGCGGCCGATCACTGATGAACAGTGAAACCGGCGGCGACGTTCCCGGCGAACGGTACGGACGGCGGTGTACGGACGGGGGCGATGTACAGACACTGTACGGACAGCGGGGGGACGGTGGCCGGCGAGGTGGCGGTGGCCCGCGCGACGGCCGTACGGACTGCGAACCGTACGGACGCTACAGTACCGACCGTACGGACACTGTATGGACAGGTACGGTCGGCGTCGTACAGCGTGGCTGGACGGCTGGGTGGCGACGGATCGGCGATCTGAGCTTCGGCGAAGCTCCGGCGGCCCTATTTGCCGGACGGGAAAGAGAGAAAAAGAGGAAGAAAGAGAGAGAAATAGAGAGAGAAAGGGTCGGACAGGGGCAAGGCTGAGGCTAGGGGCTGTGGTGGTCGACGGCGGGGAACGGCGGTCGGCGGCGGTGCTCCGGTGGCCGGCGGTGAGCTCTGGCAAAGCCAAGCCGAGAGAGAACAAGAGGGAAAGAGAGAGAAATCGGGAGAGAGAGAGGGAGAGGATGGTTTGGCCAGATGAGGGTGAGAGGAGAGAGAGAGAGAGAGTCTTAACATGGTCAAACATTAGGGGCTAGGGGCGCCAAGTATCGCCGATCCGCACGATTTGACCAAAACGCCACTAATCTAACGGTTCTAATCCATCCCTATCCAAAAAGTGAAGGATAAAATGTTCTTTGGCCCAATAATGCAGCTGATAATCCATATTTAATTACCCCAAAATTTTTCCCAAAATTCGGAACTGAAAACGGCCCAAGGGCAAAACCGTCATTTTTCCGGTCCCGGGGCGAAGTTCCATTTTTCGCCCGTACCAACCCTCCATGTGCGTGGCCAACATAATGCGGTGTCGGAATCGCGAAATTCATCGCGCAAGCCCTCGAAAATCCACGTCAAAGTTTCGGGAATAAAATAATATTATTTTTTCAATTTTTGTCGAAATTCCAATTTTTTGCCATAACGACTCCCGGTATGCGTGGCCACCCAAAAATCGCGTCGGCCTCGAAAAATAACCTCATTTGGTCTCGAAAAGCAACGCTGGCGTCTCGAGGGGCAAAATCGTAATTTTTCACCCCCGGACCGAAATTCCAATTTTTACTCGTACTAACTCCAAACGTGTGTGGCCAGTGCAATATGACGTCAGATTCCCAAAAATAGTCTCTTAAACCTTCGAAAATTGATATCGTAATCCGGGTCCAATTCCGTGAATCAAAAACTCGCTAAACTTTCAATTTTAGGGTCTCTCACTAACGGGGCGGCTGTTTAGAGGTTACGCGTATCGACCTAGGGCTATCCGTATCGTAATGGTCTCGATCATTGAGAAAATGAGAAATTATCACTAGTTCCCGAGATCACGATTGTTCGGTTCAAGTTCAGGACTGGTTGGCCACGTGTACTTTCGGTCTTGTAGAATCACCTGCGTCCCTATTGTACATCGTAGGCCTTGGCCAAACCCAATCCATTACCCTTTCCTATGATCGGCCCACGTTGGCCCAAAATATTCCCTCAGCGTCTCTCGTGATCGGTGTCTGTTTCACGATAGGGTCCCCGGTCCACGTACTGCTTCTTAATTAGCCATACCCTATTGGTTAGTATCCCAAGAGTGATCAGCTCTGGGCGAGACTTACTAAAATGAAATGCGAATTAATATCAGTTTTATTGATCCCGGAATTACATCGTAGGCCTTCCTATTTTTTGGCTGAACATGTTATATTCAAAATGGAGACATGATATTTAACATTTCTGAATATAATCTATTGATGTGGAACTCTGAGTCCGAAATAGTCAGCCCTATGGGGATCGAGATTCGAACGGGACTTACAGCAAATCACAACTCAAGAAGAATACATTCCTCGAAGCATCACATCTCCCTAAGCATCAAGATGAAGAGAAGAATTGCATCACAAAATATAAAAGACAGACTTGCCAAAATTCAAAACAAATTAATTCACTCAGTGTTCATTACATTCTTCGCAAGAAAATACCTTATTCAGAGACCCTACTAAGACCTACGCTAAGTCTAGATAGGAACATGAATCCAACTTTAAAATAGGAAACACACTGTAAAAATAGAAGCTCGGTAAAAAAGAGTAGATAGAAGAATCCTAATCCTTTAAGCATTATTAATCTCTCGCATATAAGAATAAGACACGAATTCGGAGCTTTTAAAAATTGAAACTTTCCAATTACCCCTCGCAAATCACGTGGCAAAAATCACCATCTCCTCCTCCTCCTCCTCCGTCTCCACCGCCACCCCGTTCAGCTCACACTCCTCCCTCAGCCCTCCGTACTTTCCAAATTGCCCTCACAATTCACGACGCAAAAATCACCATGTCCTCCTCCTCCTCCTCCTCCTCCTCCACCACCCCGTTCAGCTCGCACCCCTCCCTCATCCGTCCTCCGTACTTCTCGTTCCTCTCCGCCCTCGCCCTCAGCGCCTCCAGCAGCTCCCCCACCGCCCTCTCCTTGTTCCTCCGGTTCTTGATCAGCACCTCGCTCATGTCTGCTGGCGTCATCTTGGCCTTCTCCGCCACCTCCCTGCCGCCCAGGTAGTCCCGGAGCAGGATCTTGAGCGTGAATGTCAAGACCTCTCACGTGCAGGATCCTCGGGAAGAAGGCAATAATGGTCAGGAGGGAAGCCACGATGCTCAGGAGGGAGGACACGGAGTCCAGAGATGTCCAAGACGACTCCATTTCTTTCAAGATCTCTTGGTGGTGTAGAAGGAGGAGACGATGATGCACGATCGGGTTTGGGTTTTTTTTTCTGAGGAGTGGTCGATTATTTATCGGGGGATAAAGACAAGCCAAAGCAAAATAGAGTTGAGCGCCCAGAGCTGACATCATTTGGGCGCTCGACTCGAACATTCTAACATTCTAATATTAGAATATTAGAATGTTCGAATTGAGCGCCCAAATGATGTCAGTGTCAAAGCAAAATAGAGTCGAGCACAAAACAATGTCAGCTGACGTCATTTGCGCTCGACTTTATTTTGCTTTAGCTTGTCTTTATCCCCTATAAATAATTCTCAGAAAAAAAAAAATCTAAACCCAACCGGGCGTCGTCGTCTCCTCCTTCTATTAGTCTAATACAAAATTTTCCCCGTATTCCTTTACGTGGAAGCTTCGTACAACTTGCTGCTGCTGCTGCTATGGAGGAAGGACTCCGCGCGATGGTGAAATGCGGTTGATATGGGAAAGTTAATTAGTCAAAAAAGCGAGAATAAAGCAAAAAAAAAAAAAAGTCTCCAAAAAAATTCCCTCTTATAGCTAAACATGCCGCCCCACTTTGATTTTATGGCACACATGTCATATAACAATTTCATTTCTTTCCAATGGCACGGCCACAAATTTGTAAAGGACTTCGTACAGTGTGCCCCGAGTATATTTGTTAAGCAACGAAGCGATAGAATTCTAAAATAATCGAAATCCGGATTACAAGAATGCGATCGACGGCCCAAAAATAACTATATCGACGTGAATTCGGTAAAGTTTGAATTTTTCACCACATGTTCTGTGTAACGTTTGTTATTGCACGCCGGTCTTGTAGCGAGAAATTCGAGAGCACATCGAGTTCACGCAAGTTCGATCTATTGATTTTGTGAGGTCTAACGTACAACTCATATGACATAACGACTCCGATGGATCGAGTCTACGCGAACTCGGTCCACTCTGGAACGACCCTTCTTACGATGGATTTATTTAATAAAAATAAGAAGGAAAAGGGGCAGGATGGGTGTGGCTGATTGGCTCATTACGAGGGGTTAGGAGTGGAGGGGATGTTGGTGAGGTGAGTGTCATCGCCCTTGGTCCATTACGCGTGTTCTCCCCAAATTTCTCCCTCTCAAAAGAAATGGAATAGTGACCGTGACAAAGCCCCCATATACACGGCACCCTCTCTCTCTCTCTCTCTCTCTCTCTCTGGGTCTTGGTTTTGGGGGATGAAAGGGATTGGCTCTGGCTTGATTGGTATAAACATTTCCTTTATGATCTCTTTTTCCCTGCACATCACTATAATTGATAATTTTAAATGGATTATCACGTGACACCAAAGGAAACCGGGAGGTTTAGACAGCCATTTCGGATCTAGGGAATTAGTGCAACGGGCCTTCGCCACCCAATCCGCGGCATGATTAGCATTCCTAGGGCAATGTGATGTTCACTGCTATGTGATTGCACCCACCTCCAAGAGCAAGTCGATGGTGTAGGATCATGCAACGTATATAAGTTCAATAAGAGATGGCGATTCAACCGAGATCGAGCAAGCGTGAAAAGCACGTAAGTTTTGCTTCTGATTAGACTGTTTTATTACCTTCCAACTGAATGTAAAGAAATTTATTGTCACGTTTCGTGCATCTAAAGAGCCTAGTGCTAGCATATTTCATAAATGCTGAGCATGATAAACTTTCAGCCTTGTCCAAATTCAGAGAAGCAGATAAATATTTCCTAAATTTGTGCTAATGAGGAGTACAACGCACATACTTCATGGAAATTGACCCCGATTTTTTATACAAGAATGGATCGATGACCGCCAACAATGAATTCAAGAATAATTAGGCTTTCTAATTATATCTCAGATTAAAATTAGCCAAAGAGCAGGTGAAAACAGTCCTAAAGTAACCTGTGGTTCTCTTGCTGTTGCATGGAATGCTGTGGAAAAGAAGGAAACGGATCTCCAAAAGGATTGGAAGAACCACCTGCTTGCGGCATGTGTTGAGGCTGCTGATGATGCTGTTGAGAATACTGCATGACCGGGTCGTAGGGCACCATCATTGTCGTGTTGTGTTGCTGCTGCTGTTGTTGCTGCCACAGTTGTTGTTGCTGTTGAGCCATCAAGGCCATTTGAACATTGGTCGGAGCGGCTATGTTGCTGGACATCGCAAATGGGTCGGGTTGTGGTTGAAGATGTTGAGGATGTTGATCGAATGGATTGTGAAGTTGCACGGCCATTCCTTGTCCGTACCCTGCATTTTGCAACTGAATCTGTCGCCTCGCGGCTTCATCCTCATACAAGCTATCGAGCAATAGATTGTCAAATCCACCGGCCTAAACCAAAGGATATTTAGGTTGATCCAAAACAATATTCAGGTTGAATTATCATCAAAGTAAAAATAATTATGCATAACGTAATATAAATGTAGATTTAGTACTCCAGAAGTCCTAATACAAATAGAGTACTAAGCTTCAAAGTTAATGCAATCAGATCTTGAGCCTTCTTTCTGAAAAGTGGGATAAAATATTCAGTCATCCTTGGCCTAATTTCACATACGCGACAACTTTTGAAGATGCCACCTACGCAAGTTTTGATTTCCACGTAGGCCTTTTTTCTATTAGATGATAGGAGTGGCTTGATTACATTTTTATTGATAAAAAAAATTTAATTGCACCAATTGAAAGGTTAAGCACTGCGATTACCCGTTATAGATAAGATTTACAACTTTTACTTAACTCTTTCACCTAAGTTGAATATACATGCTAATCTGCCTATTGGATATATGTGACATTGCCCTAAACAACACAAAGATACAAAGGACTCTTGGGAAAAATATGGGTATCAATTCCAACGGAGAAACCACAGCTAAATGAAAAGATTTAAGCAATATCAGACGTCTACCATCGTACCGAAGATTCGAAGAGATAGATTCGATGATGTACTACATGACTAAATGCATGAGTTAATAATAGATGATTATAGAGATTATTAATACAAACCAATCTCCTTTCCACGGGTTTGCTGATGTCGACGGTGGGAGTGGTAACCAATGCTAGCTCCCAACCAGAACCACTTGACATATCCATTAAACTTAATCCATGATTCGCGGAAGATAGCGGATCGCCACCTACAATTATCAAATTTTTGTTAACATCTCAAGATATATGAAGCATACAAAATCATCCTTTAAACCAATTCGGGAAGAACAACATTTCATTGAAGTATATAGAAAACAATAAGCAAGGTTAAAAAGCTTATGCGATAATCAACAGGATGCTTGTCATTCTATGATTGATTGATGGTGGAAAATACTGAAGTCTACAAAACTACCAGGACACCAAGTAGAAAGAAGTTGAAAACTATGACGGTGCCATCTTTGCAATGAAACTTCAAAAATGTTATGGAGTTTGTATTAGGGTTTTATTGAAAATGAGTGTTAATAACCGGGTCATGAACTCATTGAAATGACTGACCGGGGGGTATAATCGCAAGAGCCAAAGCATTGTTTTCCTCTAGTTCTGCAGCTTTAGGGTTTACTTCATTTAAACCCTGCAAGAAATCTAGATTTTAACACGCGTATTTATGACTTCGATCCAAAAGGAAACACGATATATTTATTTATAATTACAAGGAGATCGCCGGTATCTGCTGCTGATATCAATGGGGGTTCTTCAACCTCTTCCTTGGGTTGCTTCTCTTCCTCCTCTTCTACCACTTCATGTTTCTCTTCAACCTCTTCAACTTGCTTTTCGTTCTCTGATGGTTCCGCGGGTTCCTCCGTCTTTAGTGATAGGTTATCGGTTTCTCGATATTCCTAGTGAAACAATCAATTGTTGTTATGTAAAGCACAAATCGAGAAAATTCACCAGGTTGAATCCAAATAACCATATTATGCTCACCAGTCTTTTACTCACAGAACCTGTCTGAGGAGCTTCTTTAATGTATTCTTCCATAGTTGTAAGAAATGATGGAGGTGGCTGTTGCATGCCATTAAGACGAAAATGAAGGAGAGAAGTCTTCTGAGATAGTGCTTTGCGGATCATGAAATAACTCAATTATCATTAAACATGATTACAGACCTGTCTTAGCGTTGGAAATTGAAAATTCCTTGCTAGCTCCAAGCCCTTGCAGTACTCATAAAAGTCCGCTAAATTTTCAGCCTGGACATAATCAAAGAATAATCATGAATTGGGACAGAAAAAAACTGAAAGCAATTGCACTTAAATATATGAACGAATATTTAAGGGAGTCCATTTGAAATAAATCCACAATATTTCATGAAAGGGACAGGTGAAATAACCTGCTGTCCAGCTCTTTTGTAAATATTGAGTGCCTTGACAGCGTCATGTCTTGACATATCGAAAAACTACAGGAAATCAAATATTATGTTAAGGCAATGATGAAGCATTTTAACAAAGATCTAATGTTCTTCTTTCTGTGAATATTTATACTTTGGCGTCGTACCATGTCCACGAGGTTGATGATTCCGTCGTTAATGGCGCAATATATTTTGAAGCTCTCTTTCAGCACCAAGGCCAAGGCATACTGTATGAGATAATTGCAATAAGCTGCTCCCTCAGGCTGCAAATTTTGAGGGTGAGACATTTAAATGGCAAGAATTATAACAATCTGATTCATCGGTGTTTTCACAATAAAGTACTTGGCAACCAATAAGGCGGTAAAGAAGCTGTTGTAATGCTGGTAATTGTTCTAGCAATTCCTCCCCATTCAAAAGTCGCGTTCTGCTGTGTGCCTGTAACAATAAGTTTCGGTGAAAAAGAAAGACTTCAATAGTGTTAAAGACCC